ACCTGGAAACGGTGAATTACTATAGATCGAAAATAATTATTAAACTATGATTGAAATTATCGACGTAGAATGCTATATTTCGTTGTATTAAATTTCAATAGTGTATAAATAGTAATACATTTGACATCCGTAAGTACAATTTCTTATGCTGAATCGAACGGTGGTATTTTTATCCTTATTGCGCCATTAGACATTACAAATACAAAGACAAACGTAGTGCGAGTGATTTGTTATAAATAACAATACATACTGCGAGCGATTTGTCAATACAATTTCGCTTGATTTTCAAAGGCCATAAATCGCTAGAATACTGGTGTTCAGTAATACACTTGACATCCGTAAGTACAATTTCTTTATACGCTGAATCGTACGGTGTCGCTTTCTTCTCAAAATATAGGAATTGGTTTATAAATCATAGTGAGCATGTGTAATGTGATAGCTAAATTCACTGAGCTATAATATTACAGTAATATTATTATAGCTCAGGGGCTAAATTGCGCAATCCTGAGCCCACGATGCCGCAATGGAAAGTCACACTTGCGACAACAAAAAAAACCCCGAAAAAATGCCTCGCATTCCAGCGAGGGCAAATTATAACACTGGCTGCGGCCAGTGTAATAATGTTGTAATGGCTAGCTTTGATGTTAAGTCACTTTTTACTAACATACCTTTAGATGAGACTATTAGTATAATTGTTAATAAGTGTTTCTATAATACCTCACGGTTTCACAGTTGATCAATTCACTCGACTTCTTAACTTATCTGTAAAGAATTGTCATTTTTTATTTGATGGTGCTCTTTATAAGCAGGTTGATGGTGTTGCAATGGGTTCACCACTTGGTCCACTGTTTGCTAACATCTTTCTATCATTCCATGAAAAATCTTGGTTAGCTGACTGCCCTTCTAACTTTAAACCTTTGTTTTATCGTCGTTATGTTGATGATTGTTTTCTGATCTTTCAATCCCGTGATCATGTGCTTCCCTTCCTCTCTTATCTCAATTCCAAACATTCAAATATTCAATTCACACATGAACTTGAAAACAATTCTTCGCTCCCTTTTCTTGATGTTAACGTAATGCGTTCAAACGGCTCATTCACGACCTCAGTCCATCACAAATGCACTTCAATATATCTTATTCACAAACTTTGATAGCTTTATTCCAATGATGTACAAAAAAGGTCTCCTTTTCTCTCTTATATCTCGATATTTCAATATTTGTTCTTCTTACATATCTTTCCAGTCTGAAATGGAAAATTTTAAGAAAACCTTTTCTTCCAATGGTTATCCTAAAGCACTTATAGATAGTTGCATTAAGAAGTTTTTTAAGTTTAGATATAGGTAATGAGAACCATATTGGTGTCCTAGTAATAAATTTATGCCACAACAGTCCCTAAATGTTAGATAAAAATGTAGTGTGAAATATGATAGTATGAAGGCCTCGTGTTGTTGGCACAATGCGTGCTTATGAAAAATGTTTAATTTGATAAGCCTGAGAATAAAAAATAAAAAAAGCACTGGTATATGTATAAATGTGAACCTAAAAAATGTAAGTGTAGGTGTAGACTTGTGGAACAAAAAATGGAGATGCGTGTGTGAAATTGTAACGGTAAAATATCCTGTGGTGTAAAAATTTTTTTTTAGATCATACTCACGGAGTATGATCTCGCTGTACTAAAAAGCTTGTATGGAGGCATGTAAAATACATAAGGCGAGAGAAGGAGAAAATCATGTGTGTAAAATTCAGTATCCCTGTACGCGGCGTTTCGTCCTTCATGGACTCATCAGCAGGGATTGGGGTTGGTAATTGTGTTACAAGTTCATGTTCCAAGAAAATTGTTTACTTTTGCCTTTTTTCACTGGACATCATGGTCTACATATCCGTTCACAACTTAGTAAAGTTCTTGCTTCTGCTTATCCACATATTTCCATACGTGTTGTTTTCCGTCCCTCTTGTCGCCTTTCAAGTTTCTTTCCATTTAAAGACAGGATTCCCATTGCCCTGAGATCACATGTTGTGTATCAGTTCACGTGTCAATGCTGTAGCGCATTGTATGTTGGCCAAACACGCCGACACATTCACACACGTATCTCAGAGCATATGGGAGTCTCGCCTTTGACTGGAAAAGAACGCTCTATCTCAACCATGTCTAGTATACTTGCTCACAAACACATGCACAAACACCCAGTCTCCGCTTCTGATTTCAAAATCCTATCATCACGCACTTCTGAGTGGGATCTTCTTATTCGTGAAAGCCTATTAATATCTCAACTTAACCCTGTCCTTAATGCTAATATTAGATCTACCCCTCTTGAGTTATTTTAGTTATGTAATATTAACCTTAACTATACTAACCATACATTGATCTTTACTTATTAACTAGTCACTGATAAGTTGTTTTCCTTTCTTTCTATTCATTTGTTCTTTCAAACTATGTAACCGTTTTTGTAATATTAAACCATTATTTTGTAAATATATATACCATACCCTGTAAATTCATTTAGATTGCTCTGAAGATGTTGTATATTGTAAACAACAAAACGTTAGCAAATAAATTTTTTACTTTTATTATGTTTGGATTTAAAGTTATTTGCTGGGCTCTGCTCTTTATCTTTAAACTAAGATTTCCGCCTGGTGTATCAATTGCCACAATATTAATGTCTAATGAGAAAGTTGGCAGACTATTTACAGTTTATCATAAATGCATGTGAGCAGCGATTTTATTTTGAAAGGAAAAAAGTGATTTGCTTTCCCTAATTTCTTTTGGAACAGAATTCCAAAGTTTAGCTATAACATGAAACTATTTTTCATCTACTTACATCATTTTTGCTTTAGCTTTCTTCCTTAATGTTTTGAGTGGTTCCCAACCCAATTCACGCAAAGCAATAGAATGATTTACGTCATTACTCATATTCAAGAATTTGATGATCAACAGTATCAAATGTTTTTTTTTAAATCAATTAAAACTACTAGGTTAAACATTTTTCTGTCTAGATTCACATACCAATCATTGGTACAGTCCAGTAATGCAGTAGCTGTGGAGTGAAATTTTCGAAAACCAAATTGAGAATCACTAAGAAGTTCAAATTTTGTTAAATAGTTATACAGTTGATCATATAGAATTCGTTGCATAATTTTGCTAATGGCCGGCAAAACTGATATTGGTCTATAGTTTCCTGGAATATTTCGTTGCCATTTTTATACAGAGGTACTACTTTAGCCATTTTCCATTCATCAGGAAAAGAAGACAGAGTAATAGCCTGATTAAAAATAAGTGTCAGTGAATCTGAAATGACAGATGCAGCTTTTTAAATAATTTTACAAGAAATCTTGTCAATGCCAGTGGCTTTATTGCTGGAAAGCCCAAGCAAAAGACGACAGACATGACTGACTGTAATAGGTTGGAATGCAGCAAACTCTGGTGTATCATTTTTAACATACGTTTCAAAATTGTAATCTAAAGAATCAATTTTGCTAGCTAAATCAAGGCCAATGTTTGAAAAATAATCATTAAATCGAATAAATCCCTCCGCAATATCTTTGGGACTTGTTAAATTGTTTTGATCTAGATTTAGTTCATTTGCCACTGTTGGTTTGTTTTGCCTGCCTAATAAGTTGTTAATACTTTTCCAAGCTCTTTTAGGATCGAATTTTTGACCAGCTATTTTCGTGGAATAGTAATTTTTCTTGATATTCCTTAATTCTATATTTACTTTATTTCTAGTTGTTTGATAATTTAACCAATCATTTTCTAGGTTTGTTAAAATGGCTTTTCGTTTTAACTTGCCCTTGCACATATAAGCTTCTTTATATCGCTTGTAATCCAAGGTCTTTTTTTATCTGATTTTTTTTGTGTTTAAGTGGAGCATGCTTATCTAGGACCTCTAAAAATAAATTTTTCCAAATTTCCCACATGGCATTTGGATCTTCTGCAAAAAAATACACATATTCCCAGTGCTGTTTCAGCAGTTCTGCAACAAATTTTTCCTCATAAAAATTTTTCATGTTTTTACTGGCTCAACAGTATTTTAATCTTGTTTTCTTACAACAGAAATTTTCCTAATTTCTAATACTAAACTATGATCGCTTAATACCTGTGTGAATGATACCAGAATCAGAAATTTTCTCTGGTGTGTTAGTAACAATATGATGGTTGTCATAGTTATTCGAGTAGCTTCGTCTATCACTATCAGTTGTGATAACTGATATAATTCGAATAATGACTTAATTTTCTTTGTTGGGGTGTTAGAATCTTTATCTGTTTTTAGCATATCACAGTTCACCAAGTACATACATTTGTTTATGTTCATTATCAATAGCTTTAATCAATTTTTCAAGGTCAAAGAATTCTGATGAGGCACTGGGTGGTCTCCTAAACTGTTGTAACCGGAAATGGCTTGCTATGTGGCTTAATAATTTCAATACAAACAGCTTCTACTTCAGAGGGAACTAGATCATCTCTTATTTTGTAGTTGATAGAGCTACGCAAGTAGAAACAAACTCCACAACCATTTCTTGATTTATCTTTTCTAACAACATCATAACCATCTAGGTTAACCATATTATCTGTTATATTTGCATCAAGTCGTGTCTCATTAAAAGCAATCAGATCAGTGAACTTATTTGACATTGAAAAATTAATTTCATCTATTTTTTTAGGTAAACTAACAAAATTTAAAAAAGCCATTTTAAAACTTCTTTCATTTGGAATTGAGCTGAGGGTTTTCATAAAATCGCTACTCACATTGTTGCCTAAAAAATCTAGTGTAGCTTCTGTTTCAACATTTGTTTCAAACGACGCAGATAGATTGTCCAGTCTTTCTGGCGACCATAAGTTGGTCGAATAAAATGGTTGCCATTATGGCTTGAAGCCCTGTTGGTGTTTCCCATTCTGTTTGATTTTAGGAAAGTACAAAATGCACTTCCTAAGGCTCGATCTGCCATACGGTTTAGATGAAGCTTAGAGCCATTTAATAAGGACTTATCTATGCAGTCATTATTGATAAAGGAACTTATTGCCACAGCGATAAGAGTTTTTATTGCTTCCCGGAATAATTTATGGTTGAAATTAATTATGCGAAATAAGTAATTTGCGCGCGCAAGTTAATTTAGGTATAGTCACGTGACTGGAAATTTCGGTATTTATCAGTGGTGAAGCGGGCTATCTGTCCTTTCCTATTCCACGAGGCCTGCAGTTCACATCAAGAAATTGGATAGAAGAGAATTATCTTCTGTATCTGGTAAATATCTCTTACTTATGCATAATAATTAATAATATATTGGATACCAAGGACATTTCCATTTTGCTTGCGACATATGGATATGTATGGGACTTTACTTACAAACCAGACTGCGGTGTTGGCCATTTCGGGTTCGCAAAAGTTAGAAACTCGAAGTGCGTGTGCGCAAAACAGTTCCCAAGTGTGCATCAAGATGCAGTCAAGGGCGCAAATGTAGCAAGATACATGTTAAAAACAACGAAAATTAGAGATTACAGGGCAGATTAAATGGCGAAAATTGTTATAAAGTGCTAAATTTCTGCCTAAAAAATATCGAGTGCGACGTTGACTGACTCTGCAGTCTGGTTTACAATGACTCGCATATTCATGACTTTCAGTCGCAGTCTACAGGGGTAACTACAGTACACTCTAAATTGAATAAATGTGAACTTTAGGAATTTATTAGCCAGCCCCTAGTCTTCCGATTTATAAAATGGGAGCTAAATTTTTGGGAGATATCTACCCTCAGTGTGTAATAGATAGTTTTGCTCACACAGCTACTCGTGGTCGTGATTCTACAAGCGTAGAAGATCAATACTGGGCTCCTTGCGATTTTGGGGCGGCGGCGCGACGGTGACAACACACTCCTTCAAATAAATGGTAGTAAAAATAATTCGACGCGTATTATCAGTCGTATGAATTTAATACAGTCTTCAGAGGCTCAGAGCACAACACTCCGTTACGAGTAACCTTAACTATTTATACAGAATACCTATATAAAGTGATAATTATTAACAACACGATTTAACAGAGAGACTAGACAAGGGACGACATGAATGACATTTAACATGGGTTTTATGACTGGGTATAGTTCGGCTGAACCTGGTTTGAAATTGCACTTGTTGCGGCTTGAAATGCAGCCGTTGCATCAAGACGTAAAATCTCTGATTTGGCGTAGTAATTACAGAGCGAAGACAAATCTAAATTATTCATATATTGTGATTATTCCATTCTCTCAATGATTTATTGTATTGGAGGCTGTTGCTGTCGCGTTGCCGTCCTGGGTCGTAGGGTCTCTAATGCGAAAGCTCAGCGTCTTTGACTTGTGCAAGCTCTGCGTTTAGTATAAACGTACTATATGTAGCATATACATTGCGCTGTTGCGTGACTAAAATTTTCCGTGGCTTTTCAAAGCGAAATAATCCCACTTGATAATGACATTAACAGGATATTAAATCCCTACAGCGTCAATTATCGATTAATTATAGCCTACTGCTGACACATTATGTCCAGTCCTCGCGATTGCATATATTTTACAGATGTTAATTTCTTTACTATACCTTACGAGGCAGATTATAATCTGGGGGCATGCATGTCTGTGCTCTTCACTATATTTGTATGATATAGTGGGTATTTGTGCTAATTTTATGTTAGGGGTCAGAATTGTATACGTATATGTTACCATCATTATGTTTGTACATATGTTATCATGAATATGCTAACAATAGCATTTGCGGTGTTGTTGCTGCTAACTATAGCATATTGTGCTATTGCTATTCGGGTTTATTAGCTTATTAGCAATATTCCCGTTGTTACCGTTTCATGTTATTGAAGTCATTTCATGTTTTATGGGCTATAGAGCAACTTGGCTGTTTTCAGATGCCCACGTTGAGATTTCAACTTTGCCCTTGGGTTTTTTGCTACACAGAACTTTTTCATGAATTTGTGGCATTTATATATACGATTGTTATAACTTTGTATTGTTTTGTGTATATACGTGTCAAAGTTGTGTTTTAAACATTGTACGTGTGCGTATATATATTCTGCCCTTGTTCTTGTGTCAAATACCCACAGTTGAAATCAATATATTATGGGATGGTGCGGCTGCATGGTTGTTTTCAGATTGCCCGAATATTTATAATTTGCAGCATTGTATAGATGGAATATTCAATTTGCGGCTACCTCCGATGTATGCCATTGTGATTATTCCCCGCTGCTTCGTGTTTTGTATGTTCCTCTGTAAATTTCATGTGTTATGGGCTAGAGCACTAGCTGTTTTCAGATGCCCACGTTGAGATTTCAACATTGGGTTTTTCCTTCACAGGACGTTTTCATGAATTTCTGGCATTTATATACAGATATATGTTCATGTTCTCATTCGGCAGTCTGTTTTGTATACGTGGCTGTTACGGCTGTTCTCGTCTAAACTTATGTTGTGTCACTGTGACCGTATATAATTTGCTACTGTCCCTGTGTTAGGAAAAATGCATGTCTACGTGGGATAGAGCGATTATCGTTTTCAGATGCCCACAGTTGAAATCAATATATTGTGGGACGGTGCAGCTAGTTGTTTTCCGATTGCCCGAATATTTATATATTTTGCAGCATTGTATAAATGGAATATTCAATGTGCGGCTACCTCCGATGTATGCCATG